TAGGACTGCACTGTATGGCCACTGTGTCCCCAGATCCTAGGCCAGATTACCAGGCCTTCAGCCCAGCTGCTAAACCTTATGTCTTGCATTCTGATCAGAGTTCTATATTCTACAGAGGTGCCAGGGTGGCCTAGGAGGATTGACTGGCATAGATCTTGACCATGGGCGTTGACACTCACTGCTCACACTATAACATGCTCGCCACCAGCACCTCATTCGTCCATGAAAGAGAGGCTGCAGGAGATGGTATAGCTTTGTCCACTTCACAGATGAGAAGCCTGAGATGACAGCGATTCAAAATGAGTCCTGGCTTTCGAATCTACCTGGAGGCAGGCCTAGCTACCCTTTCTACCTCCTGACTCTCCAGATTTGCCTCTGAAGGGGAATATGTTAGAACTTCTTCAGAGTGGGATTAAAGAAGAGAATTCAGGGATGGCTTGCAGCCTATTGCCCAGCACAACCCCTGATAAACTGTAGCTGACAGGATTACTGCCCCTGCCTCTGCTGCAGCCTGCCACAGAAAGGACACCGTATCAGGGGACAGCAAAGCCAGTCTTTCAGCAAAGCCAGTCTGTCTCAGGAGTCCCCTACTCCTGAGCAAACACTAGAGGCCTGTATATCAATGGACACATCCCCCAAGGACAAAGGGACTTTAGATACTCTCGTAGAGCAGTGGTTCTCAACCTGTGGGTCGCGACCCCTCTAACAAACTTCTGTCTCCAAAAGTATTTACATCATAATTCATAACAGTAGTAAAATTACAGGTTATGAATTAGCAATGAAATTAACGTTATGGTTGGGGGCCAGCACGAGATGAGGAACTGTGTTAAAGGGTTGCACGCAGCATTAGGAAGGTTGAGAACTGCTGCTGTAGAGGGTGACTTCCTGGGGTCTATGGCCCTGGGGTCTGTGGCCACTTCTTGTCTTGCGTGTCCTCCAGTATGAGCAGGCAGTTTTTTTCTGGCAGGAGTTAGACTCTCCTCAACTTGAGGCTGAGGAGCCGTGATATGCCTAGACAACAGAAGGACCCCCAGATGTTCACATGGAACATTCTGGCTCAGGTCTTAGATGCTTGAAGGCTTCTGTTCTACCGCAGTAGAGGTGAGCTTCCAGGATGTTAAGCTAGTCTGAACAGACTGTGTGGAAACAGAAACCAGTTATCCCCAGCCTTTCTAACCACCCCTGATAAGGTAGCAGACACGGTTAGAAGCTACTTTGAATCTTTTTAGCCCCAGTCTCGTCTCCCTGGTAGACAGACATCCCACAGGACAGAGATAGGCTACTGTCTTCCCCCTGCTCTGCATCAATTCCAGAGTGGAGAGTATCGTAAATGGTTGTGCCTCCAAACCACTAACTTTTGGGAGTAGCCAAATTCTACCCCGTCTAAGGCCCTCCTGCGACTTCTTTACCCAGATTTAGCCTCTGCAGCTCCTTAGCCAAGCTGACTGGACAAGAGAGGAACACCTTCCTCTGAGGCAGCCAATGCATTGTCTGGTATGTGAGCAGTCAGATTCATTTTGAAAGAAGGAATGAGAGACTCCACTAGACACACTAGGAAGGATTCTGGAGCTGGGGACTTTCTAAGGGGGATGGAAGATATGGAGTGACTTTCAGTCCAGTATAGGCTGTTATCCCAGGAGGACACTCACCCTCTGGTGGGTCTGTGCTGTCCTCGTTTTGTTGGTTTTATATTTCCCCCACAGGCTGGCCTTGAACTCTTGACATAGCTGAGGGTGACCTAGAACTCTAGATCCTCCAGCCTCTACTCCTGGGATTACAGGTGTGTACCGCTACACTTATTTGTGGTACCAGGGATCGAACCTTGTGTCTGCTACATAAACATTCACCCAAGTAAACTAACTATACCCCCTGGCTTTGTCCTTGTCTTGTGCCGCAGAGACCCTGACATCAGCCAAAGGTCTACTGGACTTCTTTCCTTTGTTGTTTGTAGCCCCTTCTCATCAATACTCACATGGATGGCCCTGTCCTTTAGGGCGCTGGGCATGGTTGTTCTACCCTAAGCAGGGAGACAGACGCCATGTCCTGTTCTTACCTCCCCACCATGTACTTAGGCCTCCAGGAACCATATGGATGAGGTAACCAGGATTGGCTTCTAACTGACCCCATTTGGAGATCCAGGACTTCTGGGTCCTCACCAGGTCCTGCAAAGCCTCTGACACCCCAGGTCCTGGATTCAGCAACCATTCCCCTGCTTACCCATCGGGCTGATCACAACAATCACCAGTGTACCCCAAATCATACAACATGATCTTTAATATCCCCAGACATCCTGAAAATCAGATTCTGAATCTCAGTTTTTGTACGGAGGTCTCAGTGGTGATGGGGTTTGAACCAGAACCAGCCTGACCCTAAGGTGACCTTCCTGCCTCTGTCGTGTAACTCTGGTGGGTTACTCTCCCTCTCTGAACCTCATCTGACATGTCAGGAGTAAACAGAAAGGGGAGTTTGCTGCTCCATCTGGTGCTCACCTCCTAGGTGTCGGCTTGGGTATAATCAGTCCACTTACTTTGTGAGGTAATTCCCTTCATCTTTCTCTCTGTCATGCCCTGCTCCTGGAAGGGGCCTTGGTTCCATTCCCTGGAAAGTGGGCATACCCTCAGGATTCCAGATCTTGTCCTTTCTACTTTAGTAGCATCTTATGGCTTCTTCCCTTGTCCCTAGATGGAAAGGTTAGCTGCACACAGCCACCTGCAGCATTTGGGATTGCAGAACATCCTGGCAGGCTCTCAGGTGCAGGTCATGAATGACCCCAGGATTATGGCTAGAAATACTTAGGTTCTGTGTGCTCCTGAGGTTCCAGGCCAGTGCATGTGTGTCCTTGGTTGGATTTCAGCTGCTCCAGTGTCCCTTCCAGAGGCCACTGGGCACAGAGAAGTGGGTTCCCCAGTGTTCCTGTAAGATGCCCCAAGCTCTAGCAAGGCTTACAGCAGTGGTGTAGTTCACTACCTTCTTCTATGGTGACTCCACAGTAAAAAAAAAAAAGGCCGTGTCAAGATCCACCAGCCTTTTAGCTTCCAGACAATCAACCCGATCCTATGCCCATGGGTACTCTTCTCCCAAACTGACATTTTCCAACCTGACAACAACCTAAGAATTTCCTGAGTTTAGTGGGAACCATTTTTTGCCCCAGTAGCCAGAAGTAAATTAGGACCTTGACCCTATGACTGAGGTATCCCAGAGATCGTGTGACAATTCTGTCCGCAGCCTCTCAGAGAGGAAGGAGGATGTACTAATTCAGCCTCCAGACTGGGTAGCAGAAGGGCCTGGGTTCTTGTCCCTCTCAGGAGATGGCAGGCCTTCAGGGTTTTTTGAAGTCTCATGTAACACGACTAATGTCTTGGATACAGATCACTTATATCCTGCTTGACTGAGAAGCCCTGGGCCAGGCTGAGAAGGTTGTGGCTCTGAGAGCCCCTGGTCACCTGAAAGCTGACCACCTTCAATTAAATTCCTGGCACCCCTGGTCCTAACCCTCTGTATGTACACAAGAGCTGGATGTAACAGTAATCAACATGATCGCCACCGCGCCAGCCAACAGTCATCTCATCTGATCCTTCTCATCAGCAAAGGCACGCAGATGGAGGCTAGGTAGGCATGGTGGCACACATCTCTAACCCAGCACTCAGGAGACAGAGGTAGGTGGCGTGTGAGTTCCGGGCCAGGTAAGGCTACATAGTGAGACCTGACTCAAAAACAAAGTATCTTTATTCTGCAGGTGAGAAACGGACTTGGAGGACAATCAGGCCTAGCTGATGAGTGACAGAGTTAGAACTTGAACTCAGACCTGACCCTGGACCTCGGCACCTTCTAACCTTAACTCCGGGGATCTCCATGGAGTCCTGTAGGAGGTTACCAGAGGGCTCAAGCTTTGTCCAGAACCAGGGCAGTCCTGGCCAGTGGTTGGGAGAACAGGTCGGGGCAAGGCCGGCTCTAGCCTTAGACATCAGCTAAGCTGGAGCAGAGCCATGGCAACGATGCCTGAGGAATGAATGAATGAATGAATGAATGAGTAAAGGACGGAGTGTTGACTCCAGTCTCTCTCGACGGTCACACTGCTCACTCCTAGGCCCTGGCGTGGACATGGGAGCCCACTGGACGCCCTGCATCCTGGCAGTTTCCCGGTTTGGAGGACTGGTTTCCCTATTGCTTCCTCGTTCAGCTCAGTCTGTGCTCCTTGGTCCCTGTATTGCTGTAGATCTCCCTTAGCCAGAGGCTGAATGGGAATCAGGTCACCTGGGCCTACTTAGGACCTCCTATTGTCCATAGGAGGAAGCACCGAAATGGAGTGGAGAAGCCAGGTGTCCCTGGCCTGTGCCCTTCCTGCCCACAGACACAGGGTGGAGTGAGAACTAGATCTGCTGACTGAGCTGGTGTTGGCTTTTCAGACAGAGGGCCCAAGGATGCTTTCTAGGAAAGTGACAAACCACCACTAACTTGTCACTCTGTTGCCCAGGGCAACCCTCTCCGAGACTGAGTTGGGAACATTTAGAGTTGCTTTTGCATGACATGATCTAGGTGGAGGCTACTGTCTGGCTCTCCTGGCCAGCTCCCGGGTAGCTGGGTCCCAGATCCAGATCCAAGAGACCCCCGCCGAACCCAGGATAGACCCAGAGCATGGCCTAGTGGAAGGACTGATAGAGCTGGTGACAGGCTCAGTTTGGGCTGTCTCTAGGCTGCCCCAGAATGGCCTCCTGCCCTGAGAATTGTACACAGGCAGTAGCATAGATCGGGTATTTAATAAACACTTGTGGATAAGACCTGGAGAGAGCTGGTACTCTCAATTTCGGACATGTCCAGGCCAAAGCTGAGGGCCTCCCAGCCAGAGGTAGAAGAATCTATTCTGTTCTCCAGCCCAGTCAGTGTCCTAGGAGGAGCCTATAGGAGCCCCAGGAGCTGCCCATATGTCTCCCCAGCCCTGACCCCACGGGGCTCGCATCCCACAGTGAGAAAATAATGACCATAGTGAGAGCAGTCACCCACACACATGTGCACAGCGCTTTACAGATTACAAAGTGTTTCACATACATCATCTCATCAGTTCCTCACAACAGCCCTGTGAGGTAGGCAGGGCAGGGATAATGTTCCCATTTGTACAGATGTGGAGACTGAGACCCAAGAGGGCCAGCGACCCGCTTGAGGCCACACAACAGTGAGCAGCAGAGCTGGGACCAGAGGAGAGGAATCAGCCAACCTCTGGCTCCTGACTCTTTCCACTGACTGTGCTGTTCCCCAGGAGGACCCCAGCCCATCCCAGTTTCAGCCACACCCGAGCCTGGCCCCCACCTCCCCTTGGTAGTGCTGCCTGGCAGCCAGCAGACAAGGCTCACCCCCCTGGGCAGTCCTATCCCCTCCCCTACATCCTGCAAAAAGCCAGCTAGAGCTGGGCACTGGAGCTGAGCTGCCACCCATGGCTCCAAATGGCGCCTAGCAGAGTGGGCCAGAGGGTGGGGCTGGAATCTCCTTCCCTGTTTTCCTGAGTGATCCCTCCCCACAGGGGAAGAGAAGAGAAAGGAGGAAGAGGAGGAGGAGGAAGAGAAAAACAAGAAACTGAGTTGGAAGAAGGCCCTGGAGCCATCAGGACGTCAAAAGTTTGCATTCCGACTAGCTATAGGAAATAGTTTTTTTCTTTTTATTATTTCAAGTTTTCATAAAAATCCATTAATTATTGAAACCCAAGTTACAGAGGAAGTTTGTAACTTTTTTTTTTTAATTGAATTATTGACTCTGCCGCGTGTCGGTTCATCGGCTTTGGATTCGTCTGTCAGCTCTGGCCCCTGTGCAGGTGGGGTCCTCAGGCCTGGCCTTCTGAAATCCTGGTAGAAGGAGGGCAGGCGGTGAGGGCGAGGCTGGCGAGGCAGGAGGGGCCGTGGGGGGATGGGGAGAGTGTGTGAGGAGGGCAGGGAAGAGGTGGGAAGGCCTGGGAGTGAGTGGGCAGCAGCCAGGCACATTCCCTGCCCAGTGTTCCCCCGGAGGTGGGGGGTCCCTGCGCCCCCACCCTGCCCCGTCCTCATATCATCTTCATGTTGAACTTGCGGGGTGCATCAGCTGAGCTGATGCCTGCGTCCGATTTCCGGGGCACGTACTCAATTTCGATATTGTGCTTCGTGTTGCCTTTGCCCCGGCTCCATAGAAACAGCAGCACCAGGCAGAACAGGACAACGCCCAGGAAGGAGATGAAGCCCATGGTGGTGGCGATGATGAGCGTCTTGATGTCGAAGGGGAAAGGCACAGTGGCGCGAGTGCTGTTGGCCTCTCCCTCGCCCGGCTGGTTGGAGATGAAGGCGAAGGTCTTGTTGGGTTGATGGGGCCAGTCTGGCGAGTAGCTGCGCACATGCAAGTGGGCGGGCATGGAGTCGTTGCCGCCAGCATTGGCTGCGATGCACAGGTACGTGCCGTTGTCCTGTACCTGGGCGTAGCGCACCTCCAGCGTGCCATCAGGGAAGACTGTGAGCCGCCCATTGCTCTTGGCCGAGACCAAGTGCTTCCGGGGTGAGAGCCAAAGGATAGCTGGTGGAGGGTCGCCATCCGCCCGGCATACAAACTGCACCGTGTGGCCCTCGTCTACAAACACCTGCTGTGCCTTGCGGTCCCGGATGTGGGCCCGACGGCACGTGAAGTAGTTGGGTAGGAGCACATCTGGAAAGTCCTTGAACTCCTTGCCCTGGACGAACTCTGGTGTGGCGCAGGTGGGCTGCTGCCGGTTGAAGTTGAGCCGCCAGCGGCGCCGGAACACCCACAGCAGCCGGCAGTCACAGGCCAGTGGATTGGAGTCCAGGATGAGCGTCTCCAGGTTGCCCACCGAGTGGAAGGCTGACTCCTCCAGGGTAGTCAGCTGGTTGCCAGAGACATTGAGCACACGCAGGTAGTTGAGCCCACGAAAGGCATAGGGCTCGACCATGGTTAGCTGCCCGCCCACCAGCTGGATCTCTTGCAACCGCAGCAGCTCATGAAGCATGGAGCCCTCGATTGTACCGATGGGGTTGTAGGAAAGGTTGAGGAAACGGAGATAGACCAGGTGGCGCACTGCCAGATAGGGCACGGCTGTCAGGTTGCAATGTGTGATGGACAGAGATGTCAGGTTGAGGCCGTAGAGGCAGTTGGGGGTCATGGTGTCCAGGTAGGGCCAATGGGAGATCTCTAAGACCTTGAGTCGGTACAGCCTCTTGAAGGAGTAGTCCCTGATGGCATTGATGTTGAGATGTCGTAGCCGCAGGACGATGAGGCCATGCAGGTGGGAGAGCGCCTCGGTGGGGATGGAGGTCAGATTGCATTTCTCCAGCGTCAGCTGTTCCAGGCTGTTGAGGCCACTGAAGGCTCTATGGGAGATGTAGACGAGGTCGTTGTCGCCGACCTCCAGCGACTTGAGGTTGTATAGGTCTTGGAACATGTAGTCTAGCAGGATGACGATCTTGTTCTCACTGATGTCCAGCTTGGTCAAGTTGCTGAGGCCGGTGAAGACGCCCAGCGGGATGAGCTTCAGGCGGTTGCTGCGCAGCCCCAGCGTCCTCAGGTTGAAGAGGTTGTTGAAGGCGCCCGGCTCCACGGCGCTCACGATGTTCTCGTTGAGTTCTAGCTCCTCCAGGTGTGGGAAGCTGGCAAACTCGTCCTGGTTGAGCGTCTTGATGCGGTTTTTGCCCAGGTCCAGTAGGCGAGTCTCGGTGGGGATGCCCTCGGGCACCGCCACAAAGCGCTTGCGGTGGCAGAGCACTGCTCGGTCCTGCGCTGAGCACTCGCAGCGGGGCGGGCAGCCTGTGGCAGAGCCTGACAGCACAGAGCCCAGTATCAGCAGGAGGATGGGCTGCCAGCAGGCAAGGAGGGGGCTGGGCATGCTTCTCATACCCCCTGCCAGCATCCTCTCGCTCACCTGCAACCGGAAGCAAGCACAGGACAAAGGTAGCGATGAGCAGGCGGTGCTTGGATAGACCCCGCCCCTCCCCCATCCCAGACAGAAAGGTTGTGGAGGAGGGGCAATGCCATCGCGTCTAGGGTTCACAGGCAGTTCACTCTAGGCTTGTCTTGAGTCTCAACTCACTCGGGGCTTCCTCAGGGATAAAGCCAGCCTTAGTGAGCCACCCTGATTCACAGAGGATCAAAGGGCTCAAGGCCAGGTTTCTGGAAATAGCCTTGAGAAGGAAGGGAGACCACAACTGGACCCGGCCCACAGTGCACTCCTCCCTACCAGACACCATCCAACTTTACACCCATCTCTGCCACGGAGTTCTGGGTGGCCTACAAGCCCTCCGTACCTGTAAAAGGCACCGAATCTGCTCCAAGATGAGGCTCCATTCAGAAGCCAGGACCCAGTCAGAAAACCTCTGCAGAAAGATCCAACCTGAGGTCCTGTGGGTCCTGTACTACCTCTTCTACAAGGGTCTACCCCTGACGGGATCAGCTACTCAGCCCATAGCATGAGTGCTTCCTACTTCCTGGCCGTAACTCTGCCGCAATTCTTCATAGAATGTCGTTACTCTAGGCTGCAGAAATCCTGGCTTGAAGACCCAACTTAGTCTGGGATTTTCCTGATCCCCAAGATGCAGGCTGCCCTCTTCAGAAGTCCTTCCCATTTGCCCCTCTGGGTTTCCATCACCTCTTCCCACCTCTGGGCTCCTTTGGAGTTACTGGTTTGACCTCTGAGACCAGGACAGGCAGAGTCTTACAGGCTCACCCATACCGTACCACTGAGCATACCGGGCTGGTGAAAGCCGGGTCTTAAGACATGCTGAACCTGGTGGGAGGGAGGGATGGGGTGGGAACTTCTGGAGGCTGCAGGCAGAATGAGCAGGGGTGTGCAGGAGCCAGCCCTGCAGAGCTCTCCTGGTGGTTTCAACCTTGCCTTGTGCTCCCTGTGGGAACTAGCCTGAAGATGGGGTGGGGAGGAACCAAGAGGACTTCAGGGATGGACCAAAGCAACGATCCACTGCGCCTTCTGCCACCAGCGGGATGAAGACCCTCTGCTGCTCATCACCCTTGTCCTAGTGGGCTATCCTTCTGCACACTGTCCTATACTCATGGCTCTGTGGAGGCCATCTGTGCCCAGTTTGGGCTTTTCCTTACCTCTTGACACAGTGTCTGCCCTCAAGCCACAATTTATCAGAGGTGTCATCCATGTCAATTCATAAGGCAACTGAGGCTCTGAGAGACTTCGACTGTCACTCAGCCAGTAGCAGGGACCAGTGTAGACTGGAAGTTTTGGCCCCACACACTTTCAAGTGCTCTACTGGTCTTCAAGGACTGACAGGTACTTCCTGGTTGTTGATCGACTAAGTGACTGATTAACCAGAGAGAACTCATGGTGTCACTGACATGTTATGGAGTCTGCACAGTTTTGTTATCCCCAAGGGCTTTGTCACCCACCCCCTTCCTCCCCCTCATTCTCTCTCTGGATTCTTCTGGTGTCTGAGCCTCTCCCTACCCAGCCTCCACAGGACCATTTTCCACAGGCACACACGCTCTAGTGACCCACCAGAAAAGCAAACATCCTGACAGGCGATCAATAAGTAATTGGGCCAGCAGCTGGGGCTGGTGTGGGTGTGAGACTGGGGACCTCAGGAGGTAAATAGGACTTTTAGCATCCATCTCAGGCCTGGGCTAGCCTGGGAGCTGCCTAGGGAGAAGAGTAAGGAGCCCAGATGTTGGCAAACCTTCATGCACATCTGTACAGCATCTGAATCTACATGCCCCCTCCCCCCACCCCACAAAGCCACACAAGGTCTCCACTTAGTCCTGCACACCTGGCCTCTAAGCCATTTCCTTTTGGAGAACTGTCTCAGATGCCTTTTCAGCCTCCCGCCCCAAAAACCACCTCCCCGACAAAGTCATCTACAAGTCACTCAGATGTCAGACACACTTGATTCTTCCCAGTGGTGGCGTATGATTGTGGTGTGTCACACCTTCTTCCAAATGACAGTGGACTGACTGAGAGAAAAGTTAAGGTGAAAAAGGATGGCAAGAAAAAAGCGGGGGGTAGTTAGGGGTGATACCATGATGCCCTGTATAAGGAAAAGGGTCGGGGGAGGGTCCTGGCAGCTGAACAAAGCGGGAAACATCCAATGCCTCAGCCAATGGCAGCTCTCCAGTCACCACGTACGTATGCCCAACTCTGGGTCACACTGCCACTGTCCCAGTGGCGGCTGTCTTAACCTGCCATAGTGAATTGCCCAAGAACACGTGCTCGCTGTGTAGGAGGCTACGTGTGGTCAAGAGGAAGTTGCTCTAGGGAGAGGAAACCCCTCTGCCAGGGCTGACCTTGAGTAGACCCACTGAACAATGAAACCAATAAAAATGTTGATGGAAAAGCTGGGCAGCCTTGCTCTGTAGAGCTAGCATCCCAAGCCGGGCAGTTAGCCACAGAACAGCGGGCCATCCACCGTGAGGTCAGATGTCTATGCCTCTTCTGAATAAACCCCTTCTGTGTGTGACCACCTAAGTGTGTGAGTGCGTGTTTATACGTGTGCTTGTGGAGGCCAGAGGTCAACATCAGGTGACTTCCTCTCTCACGTTTTCCCTTACACCTTCACACGACAGTTCTCACCGGTCTGGAGTTCACCAATTCAGCTAGACTGACTAAACCAACAAGCTCTGGGGAGCCCTGTCCTTACCTCCCCAGCACTGAGATTACAGGTAAGCACCACTGTCCTTGGCATTTTATGTGGGATCTGAACCCAGGCCTCATGTTTCCGTGGCAAGCATTTAACAGACAGAGCTATCTCCCCAGCCTGTCAACCTCTGTGTTTCACAGGTAGCTGTCCTGAAAGGCAGGGAAACAGATCTGAGAGGCTAGGATGTCTGCCCATACCCGCACAGCGGCAGCAGAGCGTGCTGAGTGTAGGCTCCCAGACTCACGCTCCTACAGGGTGTGTCGGTATAACATGTTGGGGGCGGGTCATCTCTGAGGGGTCACCCAGGCTGCTGAGTGGGCAGTGTGTAACTCATCACCAGGCAGTCCAAGGCTGCTCCTGTACTTTTCGGGGTGCTTTATGCTTTTTAATCAGTGCTTTAATTCGGATCCTTGCCCCCTGAAGGGTTTCTCATGAGGGCAAGAATTCAAAATTGGAACAATAAATATGAAGAAAATAAACACTAGAGACAGGCAGGTAGCAGGCAGGGGAGAGCAGTGCCCAGGGCAGGATGCCCAGACCCTGCAGCAGACTGAGTCTTCCCCAAAACAGGGCTGGGGAAGCAGTTGAGCTTCAGGGTAGTTGACAATGAGGCTCTGCACTTTCCCTGCAGTAGGGTTGCCAGTCACCACCCACACCTTCCCTAATGTCCCGGGTACACATGGCCTGCTCAGACACTGATGCCTGACACTGGTCATTTGCAGTTCTCCAGCCTGTTGGGTGCCCTGGACAATGCCTGCTCTTCCTAGCCCTCCAGACACTGGATCTCAGAGTCTCAGAGAACTGACAGCCAAAATGTCGGACAGTGAAACATCCTTGTCTGGGGACAAAGAGAAGGCTGAAGACCAGAGCAGAAGTTTCATCAAGGCTGGGAGGATCTAAATGAGTCCTGGGCTGCTCTGCTCCCCTGACTGGAACTCCTTCACACTGGAACTCTGGTGGGGAGAACGGCTGGTGGTGGAGGAAAGGGTGTGGGATTCCTCATGGGTGGGCTGGGGTCATGCTGTCCTATAGGCAGTGTCTGGTGGCTCCTGGGTGCAGCACCCAGCCAGGATCACAAAGCCTGTCAGAAGAGGGAAGGGGCTAACACTGAGAACAGCAGCTACAGGCTGCATGATTGGAGCTCTCCACACTGTCTCAGAAACCCAGGAGACAGGGGTCTCAAGGGGCATTTCACACTCATTTTACAGTTGAAAAACCAAAGTGCACCCGTATGAGGCCACAAAGCCAGGAGGCAGCAGCACTGTGTCCCTGTGTCCCTCTGGTGGGTCTGATAGTCTTGGGAGAGCCAGCTGCCTGGTGTGTGGGGGGGGGTTCTGGGAGAGCAGGGGGCTGTTGGTTGGTTCTCAGAGAGCTGTGTGCAGGTGTTTAGCCCTTTTGGTACGTGGGCCACCTGGCATGTGTTTAGTGATTCTCCACTTGGCTGCCTGGGAACCTAAGCCCCTGTTTGGACCCAAGTCTCTCCTCATTTGGGATGAGCTGTAGCATGGGTGGAAGGCTTAGGTATGCTGGGCTCTCTGTCAGTATGTCACACGGTTTTCACTCAGCATCTCTCAGGGGTGGCAGTCCCCCGGACTTCTGGGCACATTGCTTTGAAGCCCACTGTTCCCACGGGTGGGTCTGTGGTGTGGCAGAGCTGGCAGGCTGGCTAGAGGACCCTCGAGAGTACTCAGCCTCACTATCCATAAAGGACCACAGGAGAAAGGAAGAGAAGAGAGGATGACAGAAGAGAGTCACACAGGGTTTCATAGGATGGGCCAGAGAGGCAGTGAGTGAGAGGTGGGTACAGGGACAGGGAAGTGGCAACAGTCAGAAGACCGCCAGGCTTGGAGGTGTGTGCCTTTAATCTCAGCACCAGGGAGGCAGAGGCAGGCGGATCTCTCTGAGTTCCAGGCTAGCTTGGTCTACATAGCCATTCCTAGAGCAGCCAGAATGACATGATGAAACCCCTCAAAAAAAATATCAGCAGTGGGTGGGCCAGAGCCTGCGTGGGAGCCATGTGTCCGGCCTCTACCTCACATTGTATGGCATCTGGTTGTCAGACTGGGGCCTGTTAACCTACCCTGTTCTCACCACTACCCCCCCCACCCCACCCCCCATCCCCGCAGTGGATTTGACCAGCTAACCATCTTCAGATGGGCAGACAGAGGCTAATGAAAGTGAGCGGACTCGGTCACCAAAGAGCAGAAGCCAGGTAGAGGCTGGGCCTCTCAAGGCAGCTTTGCTCCCAGTTGCTGACTTGCTGGGG